CGCCGCGTCGTCGTCGGAGTCGCTGAAGCCCGGCGCGTCGCTCGCGCGCTTCGCCGCCGCGGCGCGCCGCGCCGCGAGCTTCCGCGTGAGCAGCAGCGCGCAGAGATGCGCGCCCGCGGACTGGCCCACGAGCACGACGCGCCGCGGGTCGCCGCCGAATCTCTCCGCGTTGTCGAAGCACCAGGCGACGGCGCGGTCCACGTCGTCGACCATGCCGTCGACGCCGCACTGCGGGCAGTTGCGGTAGTCCGGCGCCACGACGAGACAGCCGTGGAGCGAGAGCGCGCGCCCGAGGGGCACGCCCCAGGCCTTGTAGCCGATGACCCAGGCGCCGCCGGCGACGAAGACGACGACGGGCGCCTTGGCGCCGTCGGCGCCGTTCTGCGCCGGGTAGACGTCGAGGAGGTGGCGGAGGCCCGGCCCGTAGGGCACGTTGATGTCGACGCGGCGATACCAGTACCAGGCGCAGCGCAGCAGCGCGGGCATGAGCGCCGCGGCGAAGACGGCGAGGCGCAAGACGTTGAAGACCCACATGGGCGAGCCGCGGATCGACATCCAGGCGAGGCGCAGCGCGAGCCGGCCGACGAGCCGCACCTGCGACAGGCGGCTCGGCGTCTCAAAAGTTTGCGTCAGCGAGCTCGTCCACCAGAGCGTCGACAGGCGCTTCGTCGGCGACGACGGGTCGCCCATCGCTGCAGCGCAACGGTGTTGGCAGCGCGGTGGCAGCGCGACGACGCGGCGCGCGCGCAGACCTTGTTTTGCCACAACTGATTTTCTTGAGTGGCAAGTTGACGTCAAAGTGCAACCGAGCGGGATCGATCTCGATCTCGCGCGCGCGCCATGTTGTGCCAGTGCTTCTCCTCGCCGTGCTCGTGCATCGCCTTGAAGGCGGCGCAGCGCGCGCAGCGGCGCGCGAACCGCGACGAGAACAAACGCGAGCGAAAGCGGCTCAGGAAAGCTTTGGTGGATGACGGACCGAAGCGCGACGACGCCGCGCCGCGCGACGCAACCCACGATGCCGCGCCGCGCGCATCGGCGGACGACGCCGCCGCGCCGCGCGCACCGTCGCCCGAGGCCGCGCTGCCGGCGGCCGCGCCGCCGGCCGACGCGCCGCGGTCGTCCGGGGCGTCGCGCGACGACGAGGACGAGGACTCGCCGCCCGCCGTCTTCAACGCGCCGGTGAGCCAGACGCAGGCCTCGCGAGGCATCCTGACGGCCCGCTCCCAGCTCTCGTCCCAGGCGCTGCCGTCGCAGTTTGGGCCCACGCCGCCGCTCTCCGGGCCGCTCCGCGACGCGCCTTGGGACGACGCGCTCCGGAGCCGCGTCCAGTCGCTGCGGGCCGTCGACGCCGACGACCCCTTCGCGCGGTACCTCGTGAGCCTCCACGGCGAGATCGCCGCGCGGCCGACGATGCGCCTCGACGACGCGGGCGACCCCGCGATCCGCGCCCCACTCACGAGATTCCACGAGGATGACCGCGGCGCACATCGCGGCGCGGACGAGTCCTCGGGCTACATGTACTCGTAAGGATCTGCGTGTTAATTAACCCCTGACCTTTACTTACCCGGGGAAATGGCGCT